ACGGAATGTGACATTTAATCTGGACGTATATCGAGGCACACTAAAATTAATTTAGAACAATAGAGTTGGTGAGTCATTGGCACTATTGACCAGTTTATAGATGAAAATAAGATCTGCAATTTCTTGTGTTCTTGTTTTTGTTACAAAATTAAATTCATTCAGAAGACAAATGTATTCATAATTTCTAACCGGATACGTAGTTTCCATGTTTCTTATGATACGCAAACTTGAGGAATTTCTTTTGAACACCTTCCAAAACATCAGTGTATTTTGTTTGATTAGGGTTCCAGGCAGAACTACAAATCTCTAGTTTACTACGTACCAAACTATAGTAAACCGACCGAATACATTGAAATGATCCAAACTCTCTACAGTTTCTTATAACAAATACGATGATTCAAATACGATCTTAGTAGATTTTGTATTTTTGAGAAAATACCAAACACGTCCAACTTCTATCTATGCCTTGCTGAAATCTGTATAGATTACATCAACTTGACATCTACTATCCAACGAGTTGGACATTGGAAAGGTCAACCTAACCTAACCTAACCTAACCTAACCAAAATCAATAGACTTGAATGAAATCCAACATTCCTACACTTTCGCGTATTGATTCAAAACCAAATTCGACACAGGGAACAAGCTATTTCAACAACGCCTATCTATACAAATAAAACATTTCAACTTTCTTCTCCTTCTAGTCGTCATTGTTCATTGTCATAGTTTTTATTGCGTTTGTAATGCATAAATCTTGTTCCGTTTCTAAATGTCGCATATCTCAAAGCTTGAATTCCATGCACGAGGTTGGTCTCAAAATAGCGAAAATGTAAGCATTAGTCAGTTATTTTTATAAGTGAGGCTAAATTAAGTGCTTCATGTTGATTTCGTTAATAAAATCATTTTTTGATTTTGATTGAACTTTTTTTTGTGAGTAAATGATGGACATGTTGGATAACAATATCATCCAATTGAAAGACGTTTTGTTTTCTGATGAGTGTAGTTTGTCTCTTAACGGTCGTGCTAATCGGCAAAATTGCCGCTACTGGTCAACAGAAAATCCTCAATGGATGAGAGAGAAACACACCCGAAACACACCCAATACCCTCGAAAGGTTTAATGCTTGGACTACCAAGTTAATGTCCGGCAATATACGACATATTCTAATCGGTGGATAGAGAGGCGAGTATTGACTGAATGGCCAGCGCGATAACCTGATCTTTCATCATCAGATTTCTTATGGGGATATGACTAATTATACTGCAAGAGTTCTATGACACTCCTTACGGGAAAGCACGTGCAAATTTGAGCAGGTTCATTATGTGTGAACTGAGCCTTAGCCTTCAAAGCCTACTTCAGACCACCTCCACTTTTAATGTCGCAGTTACCTTCAATATCTTACGTTGGTGTAGAGGCTAAGGACAATGTCTACCGCGCGGACGATCCAGGTTCGAATCTCATAACTATAAACTTAATCACGTGACTGGAACGTGACAAGGGGGCCGAGGGGTGAGGACGAGTCGCAAGAGGGCCTGAGCGGTGATGCAGAATCCCAAGGGGGCCGAGGGCAAGGGGGTTCACGTACTTTGAACCTCTCCGATATTCATTCTATCCTGCGTCGATGACGTCACACGTTTCTCTCTGAAATACTTACCAGCGACGCTCGATCTTGAAGTGAGCTCGTGCATACATTGTTCATCTACTGGTTTGAATTTCCCGCTGTATGCGCGGTAGCTGATTGGTTGACTGAATGACATTAAAAGTGGAGGTGTTCTGAAGTAGGCTTTGAAGGCTAAGGCTCAGTTTACACATAATGAACGTCTGGCAGAGACGAGGGGCTGACCTTTGCCCCTTCCGTGTGAAGTGGGCCTGAGGTCCAAAAAACGCCAGAATGAACCTGCTCAAATTTGCACGTGTTTTCCCATAAGGAGTGTCATAGAACTCTTGCAGTATAATGACTGATATGTAAAGAGCAATGTGTACAAAACTGAACCTTCAGATTTGAATGACTTAAAAGAACGAATAACTGTATGATCATTCCAGGCTAATTGGGAGTCATTGTTCAACCCTAAGAATTTGACTGATTTTTTCTGCACAATAGATTTAGTATTAGCTCTAAGGAATATACTGCAGTCCATTTCTCTAAGCGAGAAAACAATGGTATTAGATTTATTGCTATTTAGTACGAGACCGTTTCTGGCGCAGTAATTCAGCTTATTAGCAACTGCAACATCAGCCTTCACAAGACGAAGAACTTCTGTTGTTTGATATTAAAGATGTCGTTGACGAATGAGAGAAAGAGAGTAGGACCCAGGACACTACCATGGGGAACACCTGTTAAGATGTTACGATCACAAACCTATACTTCCCATTTAAAAAATTGAAACATCAACTGTACTTCGTACTGAGACAACAGTGCCTTTCAATTCTTGTCACTCTCCTCAATGATCCTATCATGAACGAACAACGAAACACATGTAGAATATTGTCGATAGTGGGAAATCAACAAAAAATGTCGCTCTCTCGATAGAAAAAGCCGTCACGTTCTCACAGCGGATGTGAGCCGTTGTACACGACGATAATAATTTACTATGGATTCGAAGAGCTGGACTCTTCGTATAGTCATAATTCTAGCTTGAATATCAATTATATGAAGCGTGGACTAGAGAAGTTCAATATCAATTTCGCATTAACGAGGTTGGGAGAAGAAACATCACAAAAATCCCCTTCAAAGGATTTTGAAAAACATAAAAATCGCTACAGTAAAATCCAGAGGAAAATTATTGAGTACTTGTTACAATCTGACGTGAAACCGAGAAGAACCAACAACAAACGTGGGAAAATTCTGACCGTTAGATGAAGATGCATCTGTATGATGTACCTCTACTTTCCTTCAATGGTGAGGTTTTTCTTTTGCAGCGGAAGTAAACAATCTACGTGTTGTGCTCGATAAAAACTCACCTTCTATGGTGGCATAGACATTTCAAAGCCTTTATAGGTAAATGCAAACTAAAATGATATGTAAACAAAGATTAAGAGGTTATGTTTGAGTGTAGGTTTGTTCGATGTTCAAATACGTATTACGTCATTTGTATTGACCCAATCAAACATTACAGTTGTTCGCGCGCGATTCGGTTATCGTTTGAATAAAAGTTCTCTTCCTTCTCCATGCTTCTGATACTTTCCGTCATTTGAACAAAATACGAAATTTGCTAGGTAACTTCATTGGTGTTATTGATCATCATGAATAAAAAAATATATATATTAAATTTTTCCCTATCTCCTAAATATCAATCCACTGCAAGTGAAGAAGAAATCGTACGAAAAGAGCGCCGTCTTGAAAATTGCTAGTTCTACTTGAGCGGTAATATCTCAGTTTACTTCTTATAATTTTCAAATAGCTTGGGGTAGGAATTGGAGATCATAACATCAGACGTTCATTTTTCATGAATGACAATTCGAATGGAGATACTTATTTAGTATTATTCCAAAATAGGGTGTTGCCAACTTATATCCTGATCGAATGAAATATTCAATACATTAAGACTTCTTTAAATAACCTCTATTTCATCTCAGATTCTATACCAGGATGGTAACAGAAGTACCCAGGCTGACCTAGAGATGGCGGTAGTTGTTTGGAAAATATCACGGTATTAGAAAAACACAATCTATAAAGCACATGTTTGAAGTTTGAAGACGCTGCGTTGTTTAGTATTTCTTTGGCAACGATCAACAAAGAAAGTTATTGGTGAATTTGTGAAAATTGGCCATAGTTATGTGGTACAATAGGTACTTTAATTTCGAAAGCCTCCGTCCAATCATTATAAAAGCTGAACTGGATTCTACTCTGGGTGAGTCTGCTCCTTCGTTAACAACAGTAAAATATTGGGTATCAGAGTTTGAATGAGGTTGACAAGACGAGCATCGCAATGGTCAACCAAATAAGGTGACGACTCTAGAAACGGTGAAACAATCCAAAAAGCGGTACTGAATGATCGTCTACTAAAAGTGCGCGAGCTAGCAGACTCAGTAGGCATTTCAAAATGTGTGATACATCGTACATTATCTGAAAATTTGGAATTTGGATCTGAAAATTTGGATTTACAGTCCTCGTAGGCCTGTAAGGCCTGTCTGTTAGACCTCGTAGGCCTGTAAGGCCTACGAGGTCTAACAGACTTTCTTACAGAGGCCTATGAGACAGTTGAAGGCATACAGTCAGAGGTCATTTCCAGGATGCTGTGACTTCCAGTGCCAACCAACAGTCTGTTGCACTCTGCATTAAATTGATTTGTGCAATTGGCAATGTGCACAAGTCAATATGAAGCCCATCTAGCCTCTCTCTTCAGAAAAACGTGGAACAGTGGACTCTAAGGGGAGAAACGGCTCCAAAGGAGGCTAAAACCGTTCCATCTGCAGGTAAGTCATGGCATCGAATTTTTGGGATGCGCATGGAATAATTTTCATTGAGTATTCTAAAAAACGTAAAACTATCAACGGCGAGTATAATGCGAACTCATTGCAACGTTTGAGTGAAGAAATTGAGCAAAAACAGCCACATTTGGTCAAGAAAAAAGTGTTGTTCCATCAAGACAATGTACCAGCTCACAAATCCATTACCGCAATGACCAAAATTAACGAACTGAAGTTTGAATTGCTACCTCAGGCACCCTATCCGCCAGATTTAGCTCCCTCGGATTATTTCTTGTTCTCAAACTTGGAAAAAAGGCTCAGTGGTCAAAGATTATCCAGCGATGAAGAAGTAATGTCGGCAGTTAATGGCTATTTTGAGGAGGGAGACAGTTCTTCATTATAAAAATGGTATCGAACGTCGCTGGGAGAAAAATCAATACATTTTTTTCCAAAACTTTCGCGTTTTCTTTGTTGGTCCCACGTAAACAGCAATAGTGAATCAGAGGCTGGTATAAAATGTGATGCTTGAAATTTTCTTCATGTCAGGATTGATTTATGGTTGATATACGAAATAGCATTATTGTACATACCCGGTGTTTTATTGGAAGGTGGTAAAGTTGCAGCACTTAAATCACTCAACGAGCTGTGAATGCTGCTTTCCATATTTCGTGTTCCAACGCTTTTTGGGGTACTTCCACCGTTGGGACGGTTACGAATTCTCCGTCTAGAAAAAACAATGATTCTGTTAGTTTTCTCACGAAAGAACAGGAATAATCAACAGTATTTCATTTTATGAACACTTCTGTGTATGTTCCAAAAAATAACCATCATGACAGATATGCTGGATTTTTTTTTCAGTCAAGTACTCATTTTATTCGAATGGTGTGAGTTTTTATCCAAAAAAGATATCTCATGAAATCTTTGTCCTTGTTTTTTTTGCATTTTTCCATGTTTTTTGTGGGACAAAAAGTAATGATATATTATACCGGGTATAAAGATTTTTTCTTTAGGCACCTTTCCAGATTATTGGAAACATAGCTTCCTGAAACCAATGGGATCGCCACTTTCACCAGTCATAGCCTATGGAATTACTAAGATGCTGTGTACGAAAAAGGACGAATTATTTACACAAGATGAGGGACTGCCAATGGGATCGCCACTTTCACCAGTCATAGCCAACATATATATGGAGTGGTTTGCAACTCTGGCCATTGAAGAAGCCCACAAGAAACCTCGAGTCTGTTTAATATATGTTGACGACACCTTCATAATATGGAACCATGGGAATACTGAACTAGACGCCTTCCTGAAACATCAACAGCGTGAGACCTTCCATCACTTTTACAATGGAGAAGGAAATCCACTACGAATTGCCATTCTCAGACGTTTTAGTGAAGCGGACCGACACTAAGTGGTAAACACCTGCATACCGAAAACCCACTCATACGGGACAGTACCTGAACCACGAATCCAACCACCATCAATCGACTGAAAGAGGAATCATCAAGACTCTATTAGACCGTGCTTTTCGGCTCTGTAATACGAAGGAAGGTCTCGAGAAGGAACTAGACATCATCAAAAATAATCTTCAACGGAATAGCTACTCCAAAGCGATGGTAGAAAAGACTTTGGCTAAATGACAGCAGGAGCCTCGCAAGGAAGAGAAGCCGTCAAAACCAGTGCTTGCACTTCCCTACATCAGAGGATTATCGGAGAGGATAAGAAGAATTGGTTCCAAGTACAACATCAGAACCTGCTTCAGATCCGGTAACACTATCCGTAGCAGCCTCACGAAAACCTGGCCATCAAATGCGGACTGCGATTCCATTTACCGGATACCCTGTGAGTGCGGAAAATCCTATATTGGTGAAACTAAGAGGCCATTGAATGTTCGTATTGCCGAGCACAAGAAACACACACAGCGATGGGAAACCAGCAAATCAGGAATAGCAGACCATGTTTGGACCCATCAACACAACATCCAGTGGTCCCAAGCTGAGATCATACACAGAGAGGAACATTGGTTTAGGACAAAATTCAAGGAAGCCGCGTACATGTTGTCCAACAACGTACTCAGCCAAGCTAGCGTAGAGATACGCAACATATGGAAACCCATCATCAAGCGAAAAATGGCCAACTCGCGCCAAACGGTCATCTCCCACGGAACCAGTGAAGCGGAAAATGGAAAGCAGGGATAAGTGAAAGTACTCGAACGACCCATAAACAGCCATCTCTCGGAGATGTTTCAGGGATTTCAAATCATTTTATATATTAGACAATGAAAGTCCGAACTAGTGAAATTCACCAATACATAAACTAGGAGATAAGAAAAATATTAGGAATTATAGAGCAGTTTGCAATCAGTCAGAGATGGCTAAGATGTTTGATTCTATCCTTACAAAGAGACTTTCCTGGGACTGTAAGTCTTTACTCAATTCGTAACAACACGGTTTCTCAGAAGGTAAATCCACTTGTACCAATCTTGCTCTTTACACAAATTACTCAACCGAAAATCTTGAGAGGAGGCTACAGGTTGACTCTGTCTATACTGACTTTTCCAAAGCCTTTGATAGAGTCAACCACGGCCTACTTATATCTAAAATTCAACCGCTTGGTATAGGCGGGAATGTTTAACAATTAATCAATAGCTTCTCAACTGGTAGAACTCTGCCTGTAAAATACGGAGATACAACATCTATGCCCATTCAGGTTCCATCATGGGTACCGCAGGGATCCCATATGGGGCCACTGCTGTTCAACTTGTTTGTATCGGCCTTTGAGTTTGTCAGAATTTGTTATGTTTGCTGATGATCTCAAACTTTATCGAACAATTACTTGCCGGGAAGATGCTGAATTAGTTCAAAAAGATCTCGAAGCCTATTCCATGTAGTGTAGAAATAATGTGTTAGAGGTAAACATTGATAAGTGTCAAATCATTACGTTCGCTAAAATTAGAAGTCCAATATTCTTTGAATATACATTGAATAATGTAGCTCTTAAAAGAGAAACATTTATTCGCGATGTGGGAGTTAAATTGGATAGCGAAATTAATTTTAATCTTCAAGTATAAAAAATTGTAGCAAAAATTCTTAAAATTCTACAGTTTTCGAAGATTTTCTTCACCTTAACATTTTCTTTGTAAGTACTAGATTTGTTACATCTTCTTTCTTGTAGGTATCAGAATTGATTCATCTTTTAATAATATATTTACTAGACATATCTATTAATATTTTGTACTTCACACTTCGCTAAATGTAAATTGTAATGTAGACATCAGACATGAACATTCAAAACTGCTTTGTAGTTCCTCACACTTTGTTAAATATGTTTTTGTAAATTGGCTTTGCCGTTGAATAAGTAAATAAATAAAAATAGTGAATGAGATGGGTAGTTGCATATTCGCAAACACTTTCATTGCCGCCGACACGGCTCCCGTGTTCTACGTGTTATCAGAGAGGTGCCACCGACACGGCTACCGTGTTTAGGTTTCGAAGAATTATAAAGGGCTATACAAATCATAGCACTGCAGGTAAATCTTTCTTAAATGATAGGACATTTTGCCTATGCATTGTATTATATGGAAATGGCCATGGTTTTTATATTAGTGTATTTTACTGTGTTTGGGGTTGTAATCCGTTCTAAGAATAATATTGTTTTGGAAACATAATATTTATGCAAATTAGATTTTATTATCTATGAGAAAGGGTGTTTGGGTTCATTTATACCTGCTGTAGATAAGATTTTGAATTTATCTGCTCAGTTATTTAGTATGCGTATAGACGTGCATTTGTGAATAGTACCATTTCGTGTTTAAAATTGGGAGTGTATTTTTTCTAACAAAAAAGGGACTGAAAATTTGCAAAACTGTCAACCATCAACCTCCAAAAAGCGAAAAATATATCAACGTCCCTTATCCGATGCAGAATTATTACAAGCTCTGGAAGAATCCGACGATGAATTTGAATTAATTCCAGTTGAAGATGATGAAGAACAATCATCAGCTGATTCTGACGAAGAAATACCTACAGAAGATACTGCTATGAATGAATATATTCCTCGACAGGCTGATATTGCCCCTCAAGCAGAAATTTGGTCCACAATAGCTCCGAATATCGAAAGAATGCCATTTACAGCAGAAACAGGTTTAAAAATTAATCTGGAAAATAAGGTACCCACAGAATATTTTAATTTATTGGCCAATGATGACTTCTACCAATTACTTATAGACAATACGAATAAATATGCAGTTGATATTCTCGCACGTAGTGAAGGAGAACAAAGTCGCATTACTCACTGGAAAGACGTAACTCGAGAGGAATTAGAACGTTTTTTTGGACTATTATTCCACATGGGTACAATAAAACTCAACAGAGTTAATGATTATTGGAAAACCAATTTTCTATTTAATATACCGTTATTTAGAAATGTAATGAGTAGGAATCGATTTCTTCTTATTCTTCGGGCATTGCATTTTAACGATAATGAAACACAACAAAACAATATGGATAAAATTACGCCATTAATTAATTTTTTTAACCTAAGGATGCAAGAGGTATATTATCCAAATCGACAACTAACAATCGACGAATCCATGGTCTTGTGGCGAGGTAGGTTAAACTTCCGTCAATATGTCAAGGGAAAACGGCACAAATATGGCATAAAATTGTATGTGCTGGCAGACATGGGAATGACTCAGAAAATATTGGTATACGGAGGTTCAGCTGACCTTAATGTAGGAGGACGAAAACATGTACAAAAAGTTGTACTACATTTACTGGAGGAAAAAACCAATGTGGGTCACTCAGTGTATATGGACAATTTTTATAATAGTGTAGAACTGTCAAGAAAACTTTTACAATTGAAGACCTATTCTAATGGAACTTTACGACCAAAACGTGCAGGAACACCAGTGACTGTCCTTAGCAGACAATTAGCGATGGGTGAAAGTTATTGTGAATATTTACAGGATGGAACTTGTATCTGTAAGTTTAAAGATAGGAGGGAAATTTTAGCCATTTCTACAGAGTTTAGAGGCGATATGGTTAATACCATATCCAAGAGGGGCAGAGAACAAATGAAACCACTAATGATAAAAGAATATAATAAGAATAAAGGTGGTATTAACATTAGTGATCAACTGTTGCATTATTACAGCTGTGAACACAAAACACTTCGATGGTATAAAATGCTGGGCATACATATTGTTCAAATTATGTTGGTAAATGCATACATTTTGCATAATATAGATGCACCGACTAAGATGAATCTTTATGACTTCAGGTTATCGGTTATAACCAAATTAATAGGATCCATATCAGAAGAAATTCCTAGGCAGCCGGCACTAATTCATTTGCCAGAATATTCTCCTAAAGATGCAAGTGGGAATACAATGCGACGTAGATGTAAATACTGTTGGCAAACACAAAAAATACGAAAAGCGTCGCTATTTTTATGCCGTCAGTGTCCTGGGGAACCCGGATTGTGTTTGACTCCATGTTTCAGAAACTTTCATCAAACATAAAATATCCTGTATTTTTCAATTATATTTTATTTATATTATTTTTTTATATTATATTTATATAAAATGCAAAAATATGTTTCTATTTTTATTATAATAGGACGAATATATATATATAGGACACGCTAAGCGTGTCGGTGGCAAATGACATGTAATACAATGCTGGGTGCCTTGAACACGGCTCCCGTGTTCAATTTTTTTTTCAAAAACATACAAAAAAATTGATTATACATTATTCTACACATCTAAACAAAACCAGATAATGCAAAATAACACTCCCATTTTAATAATGAGTTCATGGCACACACAATATTATCAGTTTAGGCGGTAGGCATTGAAAGTGTTAAAGCTGCAACGAACTTTTGAAAATTTCACTACGATATATTTTAAAAAACAATGGATGAAATTTAGGATTTCGGGGTTAAAAAAAAAGGGCAGCTTTTACTTACTTCTCAGATGATGGCAAACTCTGAGCAGAACCAGGCCTTTTTACTGGAGTGGTGCAGCTGAAATAAACAGCATGCATTAAATACAACATACTACATATTACATATTTAATAACTAGCTAACAAAACATGCGAATAAGGAAGACTCAGAAGGGTAGATTATTCAAATGTCAGAGTCTGCGGAAAAAATAAGAACTCGAAACAAGTATTCAACAAACTAAATCAGAAGTGGGATACATGAATTCTGAACATCGCAGCATAATCTCTTCAAGTCATGCTATCTAGAATACAACAAATACCAAGATTCTACTACCTGGGCTGAAAGTTCTCGGGCCTAACACATAGATGGCGCTAGTGTTATTGCATTCACCGCTTTTTCAGTTAGTACTAACCTCCAAAAGAAAGCTGTTGAAATTTCATGATATTATACTCGAAATTTTGTGAGTTATTGTTTTCAAAACAATGGATCAAAAATGATTTCGTGATTTGACGATGATTTCGTGATTTCGTTTTTGGACGTCCACTGCAAAACGCAGTGGACGTCCAAATGAGGCAGTGACACCAGAAAACATGGAAAAAATCCACAAAACCGTTTTAAATGATCGAAAAGTGAAGTTGCAGAGTTGGCTGGCATGGTAAAGATTTCAAAAAAACGTGTTGGCTTTATATTGCATGAGCATTTGACTATGAGAAAGCTCTGTTCAAAGTGGGTGCCGCGCGTGCTCACTGTTAACCAAAAACAAGAACGTCTTGATGATCTTGACCCGTCCAGCTACCGCAAGCTAAAAAGAGACTCAACACAATCAAGGTTGAAGAATACAAACGGGCCTATAAAATCATCATCATTGTCGGAAACCACTCAGAAGATCATCTTAAGAACAGAAGTCGCCCCGCCAAGGCTCTACGGTCTTCCGAAGATACACAAAAAAGAGGTTCCGTTCAGACCCATAGTGAGTGCACAGGATTCGCCTACGTATTACTTGTCAAAACACCTTGCGTCGCTCCTCAAGCCTCATGTTGGAAAAACAACCTCGGACGTCAAGGATTCATCAGACTTTGTGGAAAAAATCAAGAATTTAACCTTGGAGCCAAGTGATATTTTGGCCAGTTTCGATGTTGTGTCCTTGTTCACCAATGTCCCGCAGGAAGATTCTTTGAGAGATATAGCCAACCTGTTTCCTAGTAATAATATCGGACTCTAGAAAGCCTGTCTCACGGGAAGTTACTTCCAATGGAGAGGAGCTTTCTATGAGCAATTAGACGGTGTAGCGATGGGAAGTCCACTCAGCCCAGTGGTAGCCAATTTCTTCATGGAGAAATTTGAGAAGGCAATCGACGCTTTTGATTTCAAACCAACCATTTGGCTACGATACGTGGATGACATCTTCGTTATCTGGAGACACGGAGGGACAGACTGAACCTATTTCTAGACCACATAAATGCTCAACACCTTAGCATCAAGTTCACCAACGAATAGATTTTCTAGATGTACTCGTCGAAAGGCATGGCATAAGACATCACAGTGAAAGGACAAGTCATGAGGGGATGTCCACAGGAAGGGGTCTTATCACCTCTTCTCGGGAACATAGTTCTGGATACCCTGATTAATCACCTCAACAATAATGGATTCTACACAATTGTATACGCAGACGACATAGTTATCTTGCAGACCGGCAAATTTATGAACACACTGTGCGATAGAGAGCAGGATGGGCTGAAATTAGTAGAAACATGGTGCAAGGAGCACTTGCACCACCAGGAAAAGACGTTTATCGGGCTTAAAACCTCCCGAAATCTTCAAAAGCAAACTAAACTTCTCCGAAGAGGTGAAATACCTTGGTACTATCCTCGACAGGAAGCTAACATGGAACTCTCATCTACAGAGTAGAGCAAAATATGTGGCTTATGAGCAATGTAGAATGGATATAGTGTAACCGAAATCAACAAGGCCATGAAACTGAAGACTTCTACAAGTCAAAATAGGTAAGAAACTCAAACGGTTGCACGTGCATTTCTACCGGACATCCCTAGGATTACAGAGAATATCGGAAAAATCTCAAGGAAGCATAACATAAAGACAGTGTTCAATCCCACCAGGAAGATACAACAAAGCTTGAGATCTGCGAAAGACAAAAGAGATCCAATATCAGCTGCGGGGGTAAATCGTATACCATGCACCTGCGGAAAAGTTTATATCGGTACCACAAAAAGATCCATGGGTACAAGGCTGAATGAACGTCGGAGAAACTGTAGATTAGAATGTGAAACTGCTTGCACCCGATTATGGATACCACAGTCGGCTTGTACGGGAAGCCATAGAAATCCATAAACATACGGAAAACTACAACAGAGAAGAGGAGGCGATAACCCCAAACCGGATTTGGAATCCCATACTGAAAGATGCTAAAGTGGCAACAGTTCAATGCAACGTCATCGACACTTCGGCCAATAGCAACGCATCAACAAGAAAGACGGGCTACCTGAGTGAATATAAATACAACTTACGAAGTAAAAATCACTCCAGAAAAGTGAGAATCTCGGGAAGGGAGATTGACTGGCAAGGGCGGGTAAAGTACCTCGGCCTTCTAATACACCGTAGGCTCACTTGGAACCCGCACATTATCTACGTCAAATTTAGGATCGAGGGTCGGATCGCAAGTCTGTACCCTCTGATCAACAGAAAATCAAAAATGAACTTGAAAAACAAGATTACCATCTACAACACGATGTTCAAGTCTGTCATCAGGTAGGCTTCAGGCGTCTGGGGACAAGCGGCGAAATATAATATCTCCATTCTGGAGGTAATGCAAAATAAACTAATGAGGATGATTATGGATGCTCCTTGGTTCGTGCGGAATGAAGCCATCCGCAGAGATTTGCAGCTGTCTTCCATTCGGCAGTCTATTCAGTCGAGGAATCGGCGAGTTTTTGAAGGTGCGGAAACTCACGGAAATCCGTCAGTTAGGGAAGCTATAAACTATGCTGTAGACGACCCCTCCCGATATAGAAGGCCCCGACACTCTGTCGAATGAGACCCTCATGTCCCCCGTTAACGGACGAATAGCTTTTTCATCCATCATGGCGGTTGATGTCTGAGGACTTCATACCGTCATCTCCTTAGTCATGAACCCATTTGTCCTTCTTTGACAAAAATCAGCCGAAAGGGTAAGGGAGCTGGGCTCCATCCCGATTGAACTCAAGGCGTTGGTCAGTAGAAATCACTAGTCACCGGTGAACCATCTAACCTAACCTAACCTAACCACGACGCCCTTCAAACCCGAATGAAGATGGTAACAATGGATTCTGAACAGTGTTTGGGCATGTTCCAACAAAACAAATCGTAATTTTTGCGTCGATAAGTGACAATGGATGAAAAATTAATTCCCTACTTCACTCCGGAATCAAAACGATTATCATCTTAGTGGAGAGCAACAGGTGAACCTCGTCCAAAGCACAATAATCGGCTGGAAAGGTTACAGTCTCGATGTTTTGGGATGTGTGTGGTTTAAGCTTCATCGACTATCTTGAGAAGGGAAATACCATCAACAACAGTTCCATACCATTATTGGAGTCTTTGAAGGCTGAAATTGCAAAGAAACGACTGCATATGACAGAGAAAAGAAACTGTTTCATCAAGACAACACACCGTGTCACAAGTCAATCAAAACAATGGCAAAACTACATGAATTGAACTTGTAATTGCTTCCACATCCACCGTATTCGCCAGATTTGACTCCCAGCGACTACTGGCTCTTGATGGAGATTACGCTGACGAATAAAGCCAATTTTGAACAGAAAAAACGCGTTTTCCTTCTAAGGCCCGATCATTTTCAGCCCATTTTCACCCAGATGCTACTTACATCTTATTATTTGGACTCTTCTGACTTCCGATGCTTCTGTTGATAGGCTTCCTGGAAGTATCCTGTCTCTGTCCAACACCCGTGTTCACGTTCACTTCACTAAATACTTTCGACTTGACTTCTTTCAAATTCGCCTTACTTTGATCGCTTTTGCTTATCTTATTCATAACAGCATCCCACCTGCCAGCAGGCTTCTTACTGGGCTTCTTGTCGGTAGTCGGGACTCTACTGGGCTCGAGCATAGCTTTCACTTTGGAAGCCACGTCCCTCTTCGGCATTTTGTACTTCTTCGCGACGTTCTCTTCCTTCAGATGTCTGGGGGAGGATAAACTCGAAGGGCTCAGTATTCCAGAGCTAGGAGCGTTACGCTTCTTCGGATTCTCCTTCGCCTTGTCCAGCTCCTTGTTCTCGATGGTCTTGTCCAGGACCTCTTGCAGGTTGTCCTGGCTGTTCTCCGAGATAGTCTTCGTGCTCGTGTCTGAGGGAGAGGCATCAGGAGCCTCCAAAGCCTCCTCGTTCCTGAGGTTGCTCTCTATGTCTGTGAATATCCCGCTAGAATCCATATTCTCCCTGTTGTTCATGTAGATATCAGCAGCTGCTTGCGGATCAACTCCGTATAGGGTCCCATCAATAACCTGCGCGCGTCGGTCTCCCTTCAAGTGATTCTCCTCGTGGTTATCAGCGTCACTCTCTGTGTAGAAGTCTGAATCCGTCATAGGATCAGGCCTCCGAGCTTGCGGCCTCGGCAGAGGCCTCCTGGTCAGAGGAGAGTTATCAGCGCACCTACTGGCCGGCCTGGACATCTCACCATCGCCCTGATACCCGGTATCCAAACTGGTGATACTAGTAATGCTCGTTACGAAGCTGTTGGATGTCTTCGACTTGCTCGGTTCCGTTTTAGGCTCGCTTTCAACCGCCGGCATGGGATCCAGGGGTAATTCCTCTGGAGAGGGAGTTTGATCCAAGCGAGTAAGTACCGTTCGCCCCACAGAGTCCAGAGGAAGCTCCATGTTCATAGTTGTGTCCGTTCGGTTCGAGAAGATCTGCTCGTCTATGATGCCCAGGCTGTAGTCGGTGAGGATTGGGCTTAGCACCTCGTCCTTCAGCTCTTTGACTGGAAAGTTGTCTATGCCAGGAGTTTTGAAACCCAGATTCGGTGGAGTGAACTCGCCCGTTTTATTCAATGGGTTGGACACTTCCTCTTCAATTACGGCTTCCACTTTAGGTTCGATTTTGACTCGCTCCTCGTCCAGTTCTAAACTTTCCACTCTAGGGCTTGATAACTCCGACTTCACAGCGTTTTTGAAGCAATCGGATAGGTTCACGTCGTACTCTAGACTGGGCGATCGTGTCTGAGTTCCTAGAAACTGGATGCTGTTCATCATCTGATCAGGTGTAAGGATCCCAAGCGATTCGTCAAACTCGAGCGAGTCGCGCTTACTACTCTCATCGTTCGCTTGTATGTCGATTATGCGCTGCTTCACTATGAACGGCTCCTTGAACTCGGACTGCACGGGAGTGGAAAACGTGAACTTCTTGAGCTCCAAAGGGGTTGCGGCCAGGACGCTCTGTAGCTGCGGTAACGAGGAAGGTTTACTTGGGGCGGTTTCGGTAGCCGAGCTGGAGGTTTTTCGCCTTTTCACCTCCCCGCTGCAAAGATTCTCGCAGGAGCCTTTGATGGGCGAAAACGTCAGGTCGACAGCGATGCCGCTTTGTTCATCTTCCTTAGTTATGGTTGTGTCAGCCGGGTTGGGGATATCGAATGTTTGGTTTGTTCGCTTTTTACTGGCCTCCGAGAATTTAGATCTGTTATCTTCAGCTCTGGATTTGATGACGGTCTGATTGCCGAAGTCCTTGTTCACCACGACGGTGTTGTTGGTGTTCCCCTTCGAGTCGAAGGTCCTATCTCTGGCTATCGCGAAGGTGGCTTCCGCCGCCCTCTTGCAGAAAGTTTCGTTAGACAACGCCTCCTGGCTGGCAGCCCTAGCGAGCGCGTATTCAGTCTTGCCAACCTTGGGTTGGATGAAGAGCATGGAGTACGGTCCTGAGCTGTTGTCGCTCAAGCTATCGCAGCTACCGTCGACTAGCGCGACTTTGGACAGTGGCGCCATCAACCCGCGGCGGTTCGAACAGGCGAAGTAGCGAACTCCATTGACGCTGCCATCGTTTTTACCGATCGGGGCGTTTAGTTCGATGCCGCACCACGAACCTTTCGCGAAGTTTACGTTACCGACGAAGCGGAGGATGCCTTCCTTTTCGCCTGCGCGCACGCGCCTGCCTAGATGCTTGGTGGTTATTTCGCTGCTGACAGCGGCGCCCGGCAGGGGCTGGATCTGGGGTATCCTCGAGCCGAATGTCGGAATCCGGCAAGGACCCTTCTGAAACAAGAGAGAGGTGCTGAGTTTGTAATAATGACAATACAATACAATAATAATAATAATAATGGTAATAATAATATCGTGAATAGAAAAGACCATTCCGAAAAGGTGGGAAATATTCAGAAAATATAAACTTTGGTTGTGAAAATTTTAAAATATATGAAACTAGGTTAGGTTAGTTCATTTCATGCGGCAAAAACCGCGGCAAAAACCATCACAATCTCTAACAATTATGTTCATCGGGTTTGTCGGGAAAGAACAAAGTTGCTGTTACAAATATGCCTGTCACTCAAGTCTTACTCTACTCCTTCAGAGTGATTACTCAGGAGGATTTACGAAAATCCGAAAAATGAGGCACTTCCACAGCATCTTGCATCCCAAATTGTTCGTTTCACGGTTATTTCCTGCGACAACAGGGAGGCCGTGAATTTTTGAGTTTGATGTACATTATACAATGTGCCTTATACACTTCTTATACACGTCTTACAGTAGATGCGACGCGTAATGGCTTACTGCGTTGCATCAAGTTAATCTTATCCTGACAACTTTTGAACGATTCGTCCAGAAATCATTTAAGTCCTGCAACTGCACAAAGATAAGGGTCTTCTTCAATAACACTGAAGACCTCGGCCTATCAAAGCACCTGATCTGTGCTTTCTCAGGTTGCATGGGGTCTTCTTCAACAACATTGAAGACCTCAGCTCGTCAAAGCACTTGATATTTGCTCCTCATGTCAAGTGGACTGAAGTCGGAGACTGCGGGGTTCAAACCACTTTTCTTCAGCGGTTACACAAAGCATGGGGTCTTCTTCAATAACATTGAAGACACTACTTTTCTGTAACGGTTATACGAAGATAAGCCGCTGCATGGGGTCTTCTTCAACAAAATAAAAGACCCCGGCTCATCATCAAAGCACCTGGTCTGTGATTTCCTCAGGTAAAGTAGATTGAGGTCGGAAACTGAGGGATTAATCATGGCTTACAACCATTTCTCGTTTGAATTCACTTATGATTTGAAACCACTCAGTTATGGCTTGAAACCACTTTTCTTCAGCGGTTACACAAAGAGAAGCCGTTGCATAGGGTCTTCTTCAACAACATTGAAGACCTCAGCTCGTCAAAGCACTTGATCTTTGCTCCTCATGTCAAGTGGACTGAAGTCGGAGACTGCAGGGTTCAAACCACTTTTCTTCAGCGGTTACACAAAGCATGGGGTCTTCTTCAATAACATTGAAGACACTACGAAGATTATACGAAGATAAGCCGTTGCATGGGGTCTTCTTCAACAAAATGAAAGACCTCCGCTCATCCTCAAAGCACCTGGTCTGTGATTCCTTCAGGTAAAGTAGATTGAGGTCGGAAACTGAGGGGTAATCATGGCTTACAACCATTTCTCGTTTGAATTCACTTATGATTTGAAACCACTCAGTTATGGCTTGAAACCACTTTTCTTCATCGGCGACACAAAGATGAGCCATTGCATGGGGTCTTCTTCAACAACATTGAAGACATGGGCTTATCAAAGCTCTGATCTTTGCTTTCCTCAGGTCACGTGGACTGATTTCAAAACTGGGGGGGTTCATTATGGGTTGGCATGATGGTGTCTACCACACCTTAGTCAACCGTAGTCGCATAAAGTGTATAGACGTTCCTAACACTAAGTGCAGACCCTGGATTTGCTGTCCACATATCCAGCATCGATGTTGCCTTATTCACCTGGGATATTGAATCCGTTGTAGGGAATGAAAATTGACAAGTTTATAGCAACTATTCACACTAATCCAGTATATCTTGTTTGATATGAAGAACAATAATCTTCGACTTATTGATTTTTTGAACAGTTGGGGTTACTTTTCGTGTTCTTCTTACAGCCGCTTTGTCACTAATAATAAGTATTCATCAAACCTGTGCAAAAAATCCAGGATTTCAAGAATGCCATCTCTAAATCTACGTTTCCTCATAAAATCACTATGTTTGAAGGAAACAGTGTTGTCAACCGTAGGGGAATTCCGCTACCGTAGTGGAATTTACTCTACGGTAGCGGCGTAGCGGATTTGAACATAAAGTAGCGGAATTTTCCACAAATAATCAATATTGAAAAAATTATGGAAGAAGAGGCAGTGGACAGCACTCGAAGCTGACAGTTGACAATCGAATTCACAGTTAATACGTTATAGTTTTAGTAACTGAGGCCATTACATGATTAAAAAGAAGAAAATTTTTGAATATTTTTATTCATATAACCTCCAATCTTTTTAGTACTACGAATCATGTGTAGCAGCTTTATAGTTCATGCATTTGTCAAAACTAGAAGGAAACCGATTAAGTTTTGTCCCTGATACTACAACTATTTATCAAATCATCAAATTTACCTTATGTCAATTTTGTTTACTGATAAATATATCTATTGTAAAACGTGTTTCAATGTTTTTATTAGCAAGCCTCTAGCTCTCACGTTGTCATTGTTGATTGTTGTCTACAACCTGACAACGGTATTAAAATCGGCGTGATATCATCACGACTTAGTTTTTGTAATAGTTTATTTGAATGGTTTACTCAGCGATGATGTAAATGTAGAAAATGATCCTATTGTGTTTGTTTTCGGTAACAACTGGGCCTCTACCGCACGATCTGCATGGTTCAATAGATCGAATTGAATAGTCTTGATTTCTCAGATATTAAGTTGGCAACGAACGTATTTTTCAAGGCTAGTGCTGTTTTTTTGGTAAAAAAAAAGTGCTTCATCAAATCGCTGATGAAATGAAGATCACAGTAGATTTTTATTGCCTGTAATTTCTTAATGCATATTGCCAATATTTTGCTATCCAACTTCAATCATCTATGCTACTTTCCGTAACTTCTGATGATTTCCCGCTTTCGTGACCCTGCAAATTCTATTTTTATTATCTTTAAACTTGGAATTTAGACACTAATCTCCAAAATACCACGTTCTACTCGAAATTTCAACTTGAATCTCTAAATTTTGACTTAAAACTCAAAATTTCGACTTTAAACTCAAAATTTTGACGTTACTCTCGAAATTTTGACAATAATCTCGAAATTTCGACTTTAAACTTGAAATTTCGACATTAAACTCGAAAATACGACATTCTACTCAAAATTTCGACTTGAAGCTCGAAATTTCAACTTAAAACTCAAAATTTTGATTTAAAACTGAAAAGTTCGACGTTAATTTCTAAATTTCGACTTTAAACTCGGAGTTTCGACATTTAACTTCAAAATATGACGTTCTACTCAAAATTTTGACTTGAATCTCGAAATTTCGACTTTAAACTCAAAAATTCTACTTCAAACTCAAAATTTCGACTTGAATTTTGAAATTTCGACTCTATACTCGAAATTTCGACTTTAAACTCATAATTTTGACGTCCATCTCGAAATTTGGACATTATTCTCGAAATTTCAACTTTAAAACTTGGAATTTCGACATTGAACTCCAAAATACGACGTTCTACTCAAAATTTCAACTTGAATCTCTAAATTTTTAGTCTAAACTCAAATATTCGACTTGAAACTCAAAATTTTGACGTTACTCTCGAAATTTTCACATAAATCTCTAAATTACGACGGTTCACTCGAAATTTTCTAACCTGAATCTCGAAATTTCGACTTTATACTCGAAATTTCGACTTTAAACTCATAATTTTGACGTCCATCTCGAAATTTTGACATTATTCTCGAAATTTCAACTTTGAAACTTGGAATTTCGACATTGAACTTCAAAATACGACGTTCTACTCAAAATTTCAACTTGAATCTCTAAATTTTGACTCTAAACTCAAAATTTCGACTTGAAACTCAAAATTTTCACGTTACTCTCGAAATTTTCACATGAATCTCTAAATTACGACGGTTCACTCGAAATTTTCGAACCTGAATCTCGAAATTTCGACTTTAAACTCATAATTTTGACGTCCATCTCGAAATTTTTACATTAATCTCGAAATTTCGACTTAAAAACTTGGAATTTCGACATTAAACTCCAAAATACGACATTCTACTCAAAATTTCGACTTGGAGCTCGAAATTTCAACTTTAAACTCAAAATTTCGACTTCAATCTCAAAAGTACGATGTTAATCTCGAAACTTCGACTTTAAACTTGAAATTTCGACATTAAACTCTAAAATACAACGTTCTATTCAAAATTACGACTTTGAACTCAAAAGTTCGACGTTAAGCTCGAAATTTCAACTTTGAACTTGGAATTTCGACATTAAACTCCAAAATACGACGTTCTACTCAAAATGTTGCCTTTAAACTGAAAATCCCGACGTTAATCTCGAAAATTTGACATTTATCTCGAAATTTCGACTTCAAACTTGAAATTTCGACGTTGAACTCCAAAATACGACATTGTACTCAAAATTTCACTTGAATCTCGCAATTTAGACTTCAAACTCAAAATTTCGACTTCAAGCTCAAAATTTCGACATTAATCTCGAAAATTTGACATTTATCTCGAAATTTCGACTTTTAATTCCAACTTACGACTTAAAACTTGGAATTTCGACTTTATTCTCGTGATTACAACGTTATACTCGAAATTTCTAGTTTTCTCTCGAAATTTTGAAAAATTTCGAGATCAAAGTAAAAATTTCGCTTCTCTTAATATTAGCTTTGAATCTCCAATACACCATAATACAATTGCATCGTCTGCGAAAAGGATGAACGTGTCTGTAATTGGTAATTGACAGTCATTAATTTATAAACAGAATGAGGTGGCTCCAAACACAGAACCTTGTGGAACTTCGCCCATTTGAGGAACCAGCAATTATGAAGTTGGTGAAACACGCCTCGAGGAAAGTGCTGCCGTTCTGGTGTTTGAGAACAGTACTTGTTTTAGATTCACTCAACGCCAGAGGTTGCAGTTCTTTTAATACGTTAAATCTATACGGAAAAATCACGAGACATTTCCTGTACACTAATTACGCCTTCCAAACACAGACTGTGTATCGAAGAGACAATAATAATAATTAAT